AGTAGGTAAGAGAATGACGAACAGTGAGATTATATTAAAACGCGTAATGCTACTCTCTAACAAACATGTCCATCAAAACCAGTAATTTCAAAGTTCCCCAAAAAAAATTACACAAAAGTACCATTTTAATCACAAACCAAACCCCAGTAATTAAAAATTTACATTCCTGCAAAATTTATTCAATTCTTCAAACCCCCATCTCGACCGGCTGAACCGCCCTCCTCGAACTCCGACCGGACCGCCACCCTCCGAACGCAATCAACAACCTCTGCCTCCTCCCTCCTCCTCCTCCTCCTCCACTACTACTGCCTTCTTCTCTAAACAAAAGCTCCGGATTTCTCCTCAACGCCTCCTGAACCGCCTCCAGCAGCTTCCTATCCCCGGACGAATCCATGGATAATGACCTTCGCATTGGCTGAACCACAAACCTCTCGTCTTTCTCTCTCCTCACGTCCACACACTCATCCCCCATGCTCCCCACCTTCCCCACCCACTTCTCCCCGATCTCAATCACCACGCTCTCCTCCGCCGGCTTCGTCACCTCGGCGCGACAAAGGGGACAGCTCGCATTCGACTCGAGCCACGTGTCGATGCAGTCGATGTGGAAGGCGTGGGCGCAACCGGGGAGTCGGCGGAGCAGTTCGTCTTCACGAAATTCTAGCAGACATACCGCGCATTCTACCGCCGGAGGGGCGGCGGATGAAGAATATCGGAAGGTCGGGATGGCGCGGATGGCAGAACAATCAAGCCCGTGGCGGCGTTCGACAGGCACCGCTGCGGTGAACGAGAAGTGGCGATGGAGGCGGCGGCGAGAACGGGAGAGGCGGCGGAGAATGCGGTCAGGATCTGAGATACGGATGTTAAGACAACATTTGATGACAAAGACATAGTAGATGAGAAGGAATGAAGCGGTGCCGAGAATTCCCACAATGGCAATGACCACTATGGGAAAACTCATAGATGAAGATGAAGATGAAGATGGTGAAGAAGAAGAAGATGACAACGAAGACATGATAGAATTTTGATGAGTTGGGTGAGAGGAGGGAGGGGAGGTTGGAGTAGAAGGAGAGTAGGAGGAGGGAGAGGGATTTCAACTGATAAAAAGATGAGAAATTTTGAGTACTTATGGTGTTATTTTTTAATAATATTTTAAAAAATAAGAAGGATGGATGACTTGACTAAGAGGTGGGAAATGAATAAGCTAAAGTAGAGGACTTTAATGAACATAGCACAAAGTCTCTTTCTCTGATTTCTAAATTATTGGACAGAAGAGAACAGGGAGGGTGCCCATGGCAAGGTTGTATATATTGAATATAATATGGATAAAGAGTTGGTCAATGGGGCTTTCGGGTTATTTAATGTGTAGATTATCAGATCGTACGAGACCTACAGTGACCCGTAAGGTTTTCGAGTTTGGAACGAATCTGCTCCGTTAATTGTGGTGTGTGTATTGACATCCGAACTGTTAAACATGTGAGATTAAACAGTTGCAGCAAGTTTGTTTTTGACGGGATGTTCTTTTGATAGAAAACCTGTGACATGAAAAGTTGTTCTTGACTGAAAGTTTCAAGTATTGGCCGCCTGTTGTATTTAGCTTAGGCTTGTTTGGGACCGTTTTTTTATTGCTTCTCAGAATCATGTTTTGATGTAAAAATGTAAATTTTTATGCTAGAAAGTTATTTTAAGAAGCAGCAAGAAAATCATCCCAAAAAGAAGCCTTAATATATTTTTCTTTTGTTTTGAAGTTTCATTCAAACTTCATCTCTCACAAATCTAAGGGTCTATTTGGGGAATTTTTATTGCGTCCTCCCACCTGACGTAGAGATACGTCCTCCCAGAGCTAAATTCGCGCTAAAAAATGAGAAAAAAATGAGAAATACCGAGCAATACCAAACAATAACGAGGAATATCATCATGTGAAGACCAATACCGAGTTATACCGAGCTATACCGAGCAATACAAAAAAGTACCTAGTTTTTCCTAGAAAGAACTCGGTATTTTTTTGTATTGCTCTGTATTGCTCGGTACAGCTCGGTATAACTCGGTATTGGTCTTCACATGATGATATTCCTCGTTATTATCAAATAATACCTAACAATACCGAGCAAAAACCGAGTTTTTTGGCAGTGGGAGGACGTATCTCTACATCAGGTGGAAGGACGCAATAAAAATTCCTATTTGGGACACTTCTTTTAATTATTTTGATTTTCAGATTGCAATTACTATTTTTGTTTGGATGTTGCTTTCAAGAAATTTCAGTATTATAAAGCTTCTTTTAGTATCAGTTTTTTAAAAAATTAATTTTCACATGGCAGTTTTATAATCTTCTTTGCAAAAAGTAGAAGCCATCCCAAACAGACCCTAAATCTATTTTGCAGATTTTGTAAGTTTTATTTTGTGAAATTATTAAAAGTGTTATTGAATCTTGATTGTGAGGTGATTAAAAATAAGTTGTGAGATCACCTTTTACCATTATGTAGTTAGGTTATTTTTTTTTTCATTACTTTAGTTATTTAGATAATCTTTTTACTATTTTTTAAAATAATTTTTTAGTACCAAATTTTCTTGAACGAAAAATTTTGATACCAAAAAATTGTTTTAAAATGTAGCAAGAAAGGTGGCATTCTCCAAAAATATTAATAAGATCTATTAAAAATGTTTGGATTAGAAAAATGTTTAAACTAATATAAAAATTGAATTAGATTTATTTTTCATATATGAAAATTAGGTGATAACTTGCCATCTAAGAAGTTGTTACAAATGATTGGAAGTTTAGCAAAAGAGCTTTTTTTAAAAGAACAATTTGCATAAATAATATATTTCTATATTCAAAGGATAGAGACATGCTTCTATATAAAGTGATCCTTCACATATTTGTTGAATTAAAATATTTGAGATGCAAACTATCATTAGGCTAATCAAAGGTAGAGCTAGTAATAAAAATGCTCACTATGAGGCTAAAAAGTCTAGAAAAAAAAGTTTTTTTTTAATATTATAATTTTAATTTCCATCATGCTTTTGAACTATCTATTGTCTATTTATATATGGGGTTAATAATATTTTTTATGAATAAAATACTTTTTAATCATTATTCTATTAAAGTTATCATTAAAATTTTAATAAAAAATCCACTAAGTACACATCTGTAAGGGTTTGTTCGGGGAGAAATTATTCCATGCGTAATTCGGGCAGGAAGTTCTTGTCCGGACTGTGAGTGTACACATTGTGTACAAGTAGTGTGTACATTGTTTGAACCAAACGGTTTACAAAAATTATATATAGTGTGCACACTCACAGTCCGAACGAGAAGTTCCCCTCTGGACTCCTCATTGAGTAATTTCTCCTGTTTTGAACAACTATAATATTTTATAAAAAAAAAAGTTATGAAGCCATTATAAGGAAATATATTCTTTTTTTTTAATTCAAAAGGTTGATTTTTTTAAACTAAAATGCATTAGCAATTCATATTGTAAAAAGTAATTTTACCCCACATAAATTTTTGAGAAGTAGCTAGAAAATAATAGCGAAATCGAGATTGAATTGCAATTAGAAAAAATAAAGCCATGAGAAAGCTATCTCAAACAAATCATAAAGTTTTTGACCAGTGATTAAAATTATTGTTTTTAAAAATACTTTAAAAATGACAAAATTTAAGGCTTCAATTATCATTTTTTAATTAATATGTATTTATAATTCAAATTTATAGGGAATTTTCACTTTAAGATCGGAAATTAAAGATAATTGAACATATTAAAATTTAATTAATTAGAATGATTTCGTTTTAATTTTCTTCTACTTGAATATATTTGTGGTCATTAACAAATAAATTAGAATTATAATCACAGATTAATTCACGAGCTTTGTAAGTAGGTGTCATGAATTGATTGGTTGATCGAGCCTGCAAATTGGGTAGCCAACTGACAGTGATTGGCCCTTGAATTTAATTGTAGTTCTACGTCGCTGTCAATGGCCTTAAATGATGACGTGGATATAATTTTTTTAATGTGAAAAATATTATTCGCACCAAATCCAAATAATAAATAGGTAAAAAAATTCAAAATCCTAATCAGAATGCCTGAAGTTAACCCAAGAACTCATTTATTTAAAAAATAAAATTATAATTTCGTATGAAACAGCTTTCTTACTGCTTCTTGAAGTAGCTTTTTAATACATTTTTTTAATCATTTTTAACTTTTTTAATATTCTTGTACTATAAAGTTGTTTTAATAGGCAATAAGAAAGCCGTCTCAAACTAAGGCTTCGTTTGGGACGGCTTTTTTATTGCTTCTTAAAGCATCTTTCTAGTATAAAGAATTTTAATTATTGAACTAAAAAGCTGCTTTAAAAAACATCAACAAAGCCGTCTCAAACTAAGGCTTCGTTTGGGATGGCTTTCTTGTTACTTCTTAAAGCAGCTTTTTAGTACATAAATTTTAATTATTGAACTAGAAAGCTACTTTAAGAAGCAACAAGAAAGCCGCCCCAAACGAAGCCTTAGTCTATGACTTATTTATAGAGTTTATGTCAATTAATCAAAAATAAAAAAGAGTACATTATTTAAGGAAAGAAAATTAAACGGGCTGTTCTAAGGGCAAATTTGATTCGCATGTCAACTCGAACCCAACCCTCCAATTAAATGGGTCAGAATTCCAACCAAAACCCTAATTTGTTTATTAAGCAAGTCAACCAGAACCCAGATTTTCAAGTATAGTCCGAGTCTGTTATGCAAAATTTATTTTATACCTACATATATCTTTCATGATCATTGCATTTTCAAAATTAAACAAGAGAAAAAAAAATTTATTATCGGCTTAACCTAAAAATCAAATTAAGGCTTCATTTGAGACTGTTTTTTTATTGATTTTTAAAGTAAATAATAAAAAATTAAAAAGTTTATTCTAAAAAACTGTTTTAAGAAGCCTAAATTAAAACTATCTCATATTATATCAACTTTAATATAACTCAAGCTATAAATAATCCAATTAACTTTTTAATCCTTTAATTAAACCTTAATTAACCCTTTTATGTCTTTGAGGGTGAGACAAGCTATGATGATATGGATAATTGTAAGTGCATATTATGTTGATTGTAACAGTCAGAAAAAGAAAAAAAAATAATTACAAACTCGTGCAGTAAAATCATATAAAAATGCTGAGTAACTAAGCCTGACGTCCTCTACAAGCTAAAATTTAGTTAAAAAATAAGATGAAATGTATAAAATTAGAAGCCAAGTAGGCAGGTCTGCCGCCCAGTTTCGTCTCTTGTTTTGGGAGATTTTAGCTGTTGGTTGGACTGACTGTCTCCGAGACTGTTGACTATGATTGAGCTAAAAGCTGAAAATAAAACAAAAAATTTAGTGGAGATTGAGACTTTTGACATGTTGGATGGTTTTTTTTTTTCTCTTGATTTTTTTTTTAATTGGGATACAATATTTTGTGAGATAAGTAATTTTTTATACAAAATTTTGAATTCAAAAAATTTTTATATTAAAAAATTACTTCATAAAGTAGTAAGAAAGCTGTCCCAAACGAAACCTGAATTGAAATTTATATATCTCTTTTTTTTTTCTTAGGGTATTTTGGGACAGCTTTTCATAATGTTTTTCTTTTTAGATCTCAACATGATGTTATTTGGTTACTATTTTACGGCTACTTTCAAGAAGTTTTTTTACTTACATGATGCTATTTTTTATAGTTTAAAAAATTTTAATTTTCATACAATAGCTTTGTAATCATCTTTATAAAAATTTACGACCGTCATAAACCGATTCTTAACTTTTATATTTTTAATTATGCGATGAAGTGTAGCTTAAGAAGGCTAAGCCTGAGTTATAATAAAAGAAATTTAAAGGTTAATATGATAGAGTTAAGAAAGAATAATTCCTAAATCACTAAGACTTTATTGAGAGATTATTTTTCTTATCATTTTTATATGAGATATCTTCTTTGTTGCATATTGATACAATATAGATTTAAGATTTTATCTTATTGCTCTATATTTTTTCTTTCTTTTTAACAACATAAAATTTATCATTCGCCAGACAAACGAGTAGTATCATTATCTGCAAGATTGAATGGCAA